GAGGTGTGAATATGAAGTACCTCCGTCTTCATCACTTCATTACCTGTTCTCTGTGCTTCTCATTACATCCTCTTCCCTCGAGAGAGCACGAATCGCTGACTGCAGGGATATTGAATTATTGGGTTGTGTGACACTACGGTGTCAGGTGTTCCTGTTGCGGTTCAAACCCTGACTTAGACTTAAGACAACTTTAATGTCCCCAAATGGGACGAGTGTATGAACCAGCAAACGGCACATTTAAAACATTAGACGGAGCATTTATAATCAAGTTATTTGAACATCTTAACAACACTGGAATTTGATTGTTGAACATATGTTGATTAATTTAGTGCTTTCTGTGCTGAATCAACAGAAATATATCATTCATTGATTGTACTGTATGTCAGAGTTCCAGTCCTTTTGGCCTGGGGCTGATTGTCATTTGGGAAATCTTAATACTAGCATACGATGATGTTGGAGACCAGGGTTTTCTTCGTGGTGCCAAAAGATGGTTTGTAGGAGTTTTTAAAGCCTGAAGAAGTAAAAGTAAGTAGTATTTCACAAAAACAACGCTTAAATAAGGGATAGGTGAGAAGAAAAACAAAACATAACAGAAATATTTACTGTTTTCCCAGTTTGCTGTGGAAGATCCTGACTGGCCTGCGTAGAGTCCGGACCTCAAACCCATCCAACACCTTCGGGATGAACTGGAACACCAGCGGGCTTTTATCGCCCGACATCAGAGGTCGACCTCACCGATGTGGCAGAAACATTCCTGGAGCCAGTTTCAGAAATCTGTTGGAAAAGCCTTGACGGGAGACTGGAGGCTGTTAGAGCAGAAGGCGAATGTCTTTTGGAATGAAGGTGTGATGTTTGCTTGTCCACATATCTTGTTAGTGTACAGACACATTCACTATGCATGTAGAAGTCCACACCGTTAGGCCCAGGACGCATTATTCATTATGCATGCATGAGCTTTGTACATAATAAAGTCAGAAAACATGCATTTTTCATTTAAAGCCCTGAATAAAAGACAAATGTTTTACAGCGAATCCTGAAGAGGTAATATTCATCACTGTGATTCCACCTCCCTGCTGCAAAGAATCACATGGATGATGTTCACTCTGAGTGCCTGTCAAAGCGTATTGTTTCCACAACACACCGCAAACAAGCAACTCTGAAAACGACAGCTGTAACCGACACTTTAGACATCTATGAGGAGCCCGAAGGAAAACAAATTATGACACCTCTGAAATCGTTATTTCATCAAAAGGAAAGTGAATTAAGCTAAATTAAGTCATTCCTCTGTGGAGCTGTACGCAGTCGTCTGTTCCCTTCTGTCTTTCTCCCCTGCAGGCAAATGACAGCCCATACGTCACTCGGAGAAAAATACAATTTCCTCCAAAATGACATGGTCGCTCCGGGTTAAAGTAGAACTTAGCTGCAATACGCTGAAAATCACTTGTGGGCATTGACCTTTGGATTGGAGAACTGGCCGCTCCTGATCAGTTATGATGAGCTCATTCTAGATCAGGCACGAATCAATCAAATGCTAAATTCAATTTTAATCAGTTTCATTTGACCATTTTAAGTGGAGAGAATTGTTAGTTCAGAGACCAGATTCAAAGCAGGGTCTAATAACAATGACGTTGTAATTATATATGAGAGCAATAAACAAAAAAGCTGCCGTCCTTGTGTGAACATCCACATCTGAGATGAAATCATCCACCCACCAACCTTCTACCAATCTTGTTCCACAGCAATAAACATAACCAATCCTGCAAAGAAGGCAACAAGTCAACCAATCAGAGGCAGAGTAGGACGCGTCCTCGCCGATGGGGAGAAATAAATTCAAACAACCTTAAATAACATAGAACTGCTAATGGTTGTTTTGGCGTGCAGCTGAGAGAGAGAGCACTTCAACATTTCCAAACCTCTCTTGCCCGCTTATTGCTTGTGTGCGATTGGTTTAAGGTCGCCTCCCCCTGATGTGCAGCGTATAACAATGTGACATGGTTCGCTCGTATAGGGATGAACCTACAGAGAACCATCTCTCAAATCTGCAGCTCCGCTCTGCTTTACGGAGATCTATAGCGAGTCTCAACTCTTTGTTTAGCTGTCCGGCTGCAACTTTAGTGTTCTGCTTCACCCCCCATCGCTCTCATGCTGTTTCTGGCTGCAGCTGTTCTCAGTTTAAAAGCTCTAAAAATACACCATACACACCTGTATAGAACTATACCTGCTCAGCACCACACAGCAGGCAGACACAGTTAGAGACTAGCTGGTGAACATAGCGGAGCATTTAGCAGCTAAAAACAGGAGCTGGAGGAGACCAAAACAGAGCTAAAAGAAAATGAATGTAAATTGTAAACAAAAAAATTATAATAATATAGAAAAATAAGAAATACTGTCATACATACATATTAAATAAAGGGACTAAAGGTAGCCTCACCCTCCCAAACTGGCAGCAGAGCCCGGTGGCGGCCTGCAGGCCCTCTCTGCCTCCCCTCTAACTCAAACACAACAGTCCACAAGAGAAAAGGCATTTAATCAGCGGGGAGAGGAGCAGAGGGCTCATTACAGCGGAAACCTCTGTGGCTCTGAGATAAACTCTGCAGCGTGTGACTCAACTTTGCATTACAAAACCTCCCGAAAAAAAAAAGACTTTTGACTTTTAAAAGATTTTTACTCACTGCAGAAAGAATAATGACGTGTAATGAATCGGGGTCCAGGCTTGTAAAATGGGAAACATAATAACCAGAGTGAAAGTAACTGCAGATTTGAATTGTAAAGCACCTCAGCAGACAGCTCCTGGCTGATTTACTGGATGTGTTTTGGAAGGCCGGATCGTTATTTTGTACAAGACTGCAACCATATTGAATTTAGAGATAATACACACGAAGTAGAGCTAGTGCTTACAGCCGAGTGGAAAGAGGAAAATACCCACACGTGTGCTCATGTGTTCCAGCTATAGATCACAGCGACAGTTATCTCATGAGAGAGCAAGGTCCATTTAAGAGGCAGTTCTTCACCGCTACAAGATGTATGATTTATTACGAGGCTTAGTGAGAGACTTCTGTACTTTGAATTAGTTTTATCGTCTCACACACAAATTGGAAGGGGATGGATATTCCTCCTCTGCTGCAATCGCCATTTAGCATATTTCCAATTCTGCATTTGAAACTTCAGCAGCAGCGGATAATCTCATTTCACAATATGTGCTGTGCAATGACCAAAATGTATTCAATTTGATGGGTTTTCCTCCTCCTGTATTTAGAGTGTGTGACTGTACTGCAGGGAGATGCATTCTGTTTTGATCAGATTATCCAACACTAAAAGATTTAAGGGCTCATTCATGAAAGGATAGCTGCTACAAACAAACAGCGCCTTATGTTTTATAATATTTGCTCATTTTAATTAGTGTCTACTGTTAAATTTACTTTGAGGGGGCCAAGCCGAGGGCATGCTGTTGGTATCATTTCTCAGAATTTGGGGATTTTAATAAATTGAGAAGGAGTTTTACTTTCTACAAATACACAGAAATTACACATGACGGGTTATAATGATTTTAAATATGTCCGTTTCTGGCATTAAACAAGTAAAAGTTCCAATACCAAAATGTAAAGTTACTCCATTGTAAGTAGAAGTCCTGCATTCAAAATCCAAGAGCAGAAAGAAGTACAGAAGTATCAGCAAAGTATCTCATATAAAAGTACTGGTTCTGCAGAGAAATGCCCCCTGTGGCTGAAATACAGTCTACATTCTAATATATTACATAATTAGGTTGTAGCCTTTTACTGTCGTAGCTAAGGTGTTGGGCACCTCCTGTCATGAGATGATTCATCCGTTAGTAAACAGTGATGCAACATGGTTCGGTTTGTATTGTGGATATTTGGGTGACGGAAGAAGAAAAACATAAGAATTTGTTTAAACTCCAAAATATATGAATTATTTGACTGCTTGATAGTAATGCAGGATATTTCTATATAATATGAGGCCATAACACGGATTCTATACATGAAAGGCAGGCTGCTTAATGATCAAGTAGGCCTGGGTTCAGATAATTGCCTCTTCTATGTCTCTGGCACCTCATCAAATAATTAGCAGGCCTGCATTTAATAGTGCTGCAAAGGTTCAACTAGCCCACGTTGGGTTTGTTCATCATTGAACCGTCCTCTTTGGCCTGCAACACTTATATGTGAGAGGTGTTATTAGTCAAATGTCTCTTTGGCTAGTAACTCATAAACATCTCAAATGTGGGACCTCATTGACAATGCATTGTGTTTTATTAAGCTTATCACATTTGTTTTTTTTTGCCAAAATAGAATTATTGAAAGTAACTACTAACTAGAGGTGTCAGATAGTAAAACTTACATAACTTCCCTCTGAAATGTAGTTAAAAAAAAGTATGAAAAAGGCATAGAATGGAAATACTCACACAATTACTTAAGTACAGTACTTGAGTATATATTCCCAGTTAATTTCCAAACCACAGCATTTAGATTAAGTAGGCAGATACAACTGACAAGCAAGATAAGTAAAAACATAAATTGAAACGTGAAGCTTAAACAGAGATTCTGCAGAGATACTGATGTCTGAGTTTAACACTCTCTTAATCAAGTTTTAGTTACGTGATCTCCAGACTAAATGAACCACTGCTGCCATCTGGTGGATACAGGCGGTACTGCCCCTCCTGGCCGCACTAGGAGAGGGGAAGTTGCAGATGAGGGGATTGGGTTTTTCCCAGATGTGTAATTGAAGTATTCAGAGCCTCGGCGCCCTGAACTTCTTTCCATCTACACATATCCACTATTTTAAGAGGAATACATCTCCAAACTGACAGCTGGACAGTCAGGAGTCACACATTCCCCTTGCAATATTTATAAATCCTTCTATTTTTATGCCGTTTTATAAATTATCTATCATGGGGGGGGGGTAGTTCCGCAGGAAGAAAGAGGAATATAATACATGTCTTCGCTAGAAGTGATCCCCGTTATCAGGAAGTTTATTACAGATGAGTAATGCATAAAATAACATGTAAATGTGAACTGTGCAGCCTCGGCCTGTCCCGGAGAAGCCATTGCTGTAACAGACATCGCACATTGTGTTCTGGCCGTTAATGCACGGCGCGCAGAAAAATCTTTTCACACTTGCAGGAAACGCATGCGCGGAGAGGACAGCAACCAGTTCGAGTCAAGTCGAGGCAGACGGATGTGATCGAGCCAAAATAATCACCTGTATTCTGGCATTCATGGTGACACAGTGAGTAGACCCTTTATATTTCACTTTTGTAAACCACAACCATTCGTGTTGGTGCATATCTTTTTCGGGGGGAAATAAGGCGGATATACATGTCAGGATCCTGTGAAGCTGAAGCATCTTTATGTGGATATTCCAGCAAGCAATAAATAGCATTCATTTACGATTCGTGCATGTTGCGATCTGAACTAAAATGACAACATCGCTTATCAAATGCATGTAAATATCTGCAGATGTGCAGCTTTTTGCCTCGAAAAAAAAATCCTGACTGTAAATTTATCAGCTTTTCTGATCAAATAATGTCATTATGTTTCTATAAATGGCTGCACGCTGCTGGCTTTAGGGTGATTGCTTCGAATCGACCATCATGCATGTGTGTGTATGTGTATGTGTGTGTATGTGCGTGTGTATCCTCCCGAGGATGCGACTGATGGATGCGATTGCTGCGCTCCAAGAGTAACGCCTTGTCGCTATCATTAGGCTACTGCTCATCCCTCACACACCGAGAGAGCGAGGAGGAGAGACTCTAGATGAAGGCGGTTGTTGCTCATCACAATCTGTTGTGGGGGTTTTATTTTTTGTTGCATTCAGCATGATCCAACCAACCGGTAGGACATCTCGAGCCGTTTGCATTGCGATATCTGCACCTAAACGCACCACGCGAATTGTTTAATGCCGATTATTGAGGTTGCATCGCACCGTTGACCCCACGCGTCATGACGATGTGGCGATCGTGCATTCCGCAAGACACGTTTCCCTCTATGCTGTTGTTTAATTCAGCACATGTAAGCACTATAATTAACAGGATGAAGCTGATCATGTTTCATTGCTTCATCCAGATTTTGGCCTCATGCTCAATGCTCCAGCTCAATGCGCTAATAATCTTGCAGTAAAAAAAAAAAAATGAAAAATAACCTCTCACTTTGGTCTCCATGCCTTCTCCTCTTCGCAGTGCATGGGCTCAGAGCGGGTGGAGATGCGTAAGAGACAGATGCAGGTTCATCAGGAAGCAGCTGCCAGTGTCCTCCAAGCGCGCAACAGAATGGGGAACACCCCCACCAACGCCTCTAACGCCTGCTGCTTCTGCTGGTGCTGCTGCTGTAGCTGCTCCTGGTAATGGCACTCCGCTGCTCCGCACACAGCAGGGCTGGAGACGGGAGACGTGCGGAGGTCTTCCTCCTCACGTCAAGACCATTGCGGTCGCTTTCTCAGAGCCCTGTTTCACATTGAGACGCAGACGGCACGCACGTCTCGAGCAGAGCTGCAACAATCAGTCGATTTATCAATTAGGCAACACACAGGAATTTAACAGGCTACTGAATAATTCGACACTGGTTAAAAAACTAACTGTGAATATTTGCTGCTTTTCTCTTTAGTCTATGTCATGTAAATTAAATATCTTTGAGTTTTGGACAAAATAAGACATTCAAAATAGTAATGGCCTTTTTTTCATGATTATCTAGCATTTTTTAGACAAGACAATCGATTGATCGTTCTGCAGAATAATCTATAATGAAAATAATAATTAGTTACAGCCCTTAGTTCCCCTAAGTAACAATAAAGACAGTGTTACATCAGTTGAAACTTTTACTTTTAATATAGCATGGATTAGAAAATTTAAACATATATATTCTGGCTATAGTATAAAACTGGAGCAGACATTTAACCACAAATATGCAGGTTATGACATCTTAATATCTGGTAATTCTTCAAAATATCACTAACAATTCTATCTCTTCCACTTACACAATGCATAATAGTGTCAGCTGACCTACGGTCACATATCACAATCATACAAAATGCATTACAGAAAAAAGCAAATCTTTGGTTTTACGCCCTCATTTCCTGTCAAGCTTTTCATACTTTGTGCATTCAAATGCTTTTTAAAGGGCCATACTGTTGTTTTCAGCTGTATTCATCCATCTGCTATATGCATGCTATTCATACTCACTACAATGTTACTGTGGACCATGTTCCCCTCTGCTTTAGATTGAAGCGCATGTTTCTGGGCTTCACTTGCTTCAGCAGTTGTATTTTTGCCACAAATAATAATTGTTATTGCTTTATTCGCATGCGGTCCAACAGGCGAGTTGTTCAGACGTCTGCCTGTGTGGTGCATTCAGGTTCCAGCTTAGTGCAAGAAGCTTCCAAATTAATTTTGTTACATTATTATTTATTGTTTTTCAAAGCAACACGATTGTGAACGCAACAGGTTTTTAGTTGCAGAACAAAACACCATGTATCTGAAAACAGAAAATCAGAGGAATTCTTGGCAGAAACGTGGTTTCAACCCGTCTGTTGTTGTTTTTTTGAAAGGCCGATGGTAAATCACAGATTATGTACTTGAGACGCACTAAATGTAACGTGATACAGCAGCAAACTGCATCGTTCTATAACACGAAGACCTTTCTCTCAGGCCTCATTTAATAGCAGCAGCTCAATAGTGGATACGACTTCTTTTTTTGCCTCCGTCCTCCCACCCATTCAACAACACCATCGCCCACACCATCATCACAGAAAAACAGGAACACAGGGGTCCTGTGACCCACACTGGATCTCATTGGACGGAGGCCTCAGGGGTTTTAATCTGTTTTGGAATCATCGACCGTTAAACTCGTGCTTCGTCTTGAGGACGGCCAACCTGTTGTGTGCAGAACGTGGCCGCGTTAATTTTCACTCCACTGGGGAGGAGTAACACATTCTGTCTCTACGTCTGTAGCAATTCCATCTGACTGTTGCACAGCTACAACAGCCACATTCCCAGATGGGATGGCTCACAGTGGACTCTTACCTGAACCAATTAAGCCTCCAGCCAGCTGCTACATCAGGTGTTGGAAACATTTTAATTATGCACAGGTGATCCCCGCGGGATACTTTACTATTTACGCAAACGTTCCCAGGAGATCATCCTGAATCTACTGTAGGTGGTCATTGTCATGTGGTACAACCAGCATGCAGTGCCTTTAACCTGGTAAACAGGCCAACAGCAACTGTATGTAATGTTATGTAACAGAAGGAATATAGTGTTGGTCTGGGGCTGTTTTTCATGATTTGGGCTACACTATTCAATTCCAGTTAAGTTGTTTGACATTTTGGGAAATTGGCCCTAAATTAGCCTTCTTTCCAAGTTCCTGGTGTCTTCTTCCTAGCAACCTCACCGCGACGACAACTCCAGGAAACATGCTGCATCAAATCTGGATGACAAGCCTCATTGTGTTTGTTTGTTTTTCTTCCAGTTTGACTGTTAGGAGTGAAGACGAGACAATACAGAGGTCCACTTTTGAGCGCAGAACAGAGGGAACCACTAATTGTGAAGAAAGGTAATGGCTGAACACCGCGACCCTTCCGTGCATCCTTATTGAGAGAATTAAATAACAGGGAACCAATGCATCCACAATTCTTTTATCTTTAAGCCCGAAGCCTACTCTGGATGACGCTCGCTGCTGGACGATGTCGTTTGAAAAGGTGATGAAAAGTGCAGCGGGTCGCGGCTGCTTCAGGCAGTTCCTGCGGACGGAGTTCAGCGAGGAGAACATGATGTTCTGGCTCGCCTGCGAGGAGCTCAAAAAGGAGACCAACAGGACCGTGGTGGAGGAGAAAGTCCGTCAGATATACGAGGACTTCATCTCAATCCTTTCTCCTAAAGAGGTGAGCCGCTGTATGATGCTATGGCTGCAGTGATATAGTTCTGATGAGTGATAACAATCACCATGCAAATAATGGTTATTTTCTTGATGAATCACTTTGTGTGGATTTGTTTTGTCGACATGTTAGAAATGAGAAAAAAAGTTCACAGAACCCAGAACACAAGACGACATCGCTTGTTAATTGTCAAACCATCACCGAAGATATCCTACATTTAGCGAAAATATGCTTATTTGCCGTGTTGCAAACTATTCTTTTAACGATTCAATATGACAATTATGACAAACCTTAAAAGGGCAGCAGGAGCCATTTTTGCTTTAAAATTGACTAAAACGCTTCATTTCTTAACAAATAAAGAGGAACTTCACTACTAGGGGTGTCACGTTATATCGTATTAACGATAACCAATATTTAAAAATGAAATATACTTCATATATTAATAGATAATGTTCATAATAATTCTAAGATAATATTCTTTCGCTCCACCTTGCTACATTTATATTTTGAGTGTAAATCATTTTACAAAAACAGAGACAAAATGTGCGAGAAGAAAAAAGTTAAAGATGATAAATTCCAAATTCAGAGCTTATCTATAACCGAGGCATTTCTTCCGATCAACATGGCGACGGCTGAGCATGCGGCTAGCAGCTAACGGTGCTAACATCGCTAACAGTGCAATAGGTCAATTAGCTACCCAGGGTGCACTGGGACTCACATGCGTACGCGGCTGAACCGGCTACGTAAACAAAGCACAGAGATGCTCAGATTACAACACACTCAGCGGGAGAGTGACTTTATTCTCTGCTCAGGACGCCATTACTCCGATATACATTTACATAGCAAATAGTTGTTTGCTGCTATACTAATGCTCGGATTTTGAATATAGCAGATTTAAAGATGAATTTGACTGATAGCATTATCCAAAAAACATTAAAAGTGTTCTACAGATGTTGCAATAATAGTTTTTGTGAATTATTTTTGGCCACGATAACCGTGTTACAATCTGATATATATAACTTTTCTTTTTTTAAGAGGGACCAAATAGCAATAGAAAATTGTCCTATTTTGAAGTATAGGAGCCCTTTAGTTTTCTGTCGATCAACTCATCATTTAAGCTCTATTTGGTGTATTTACATCTTTCACCTGCTCATCTTCTCCAGGTCAGTTTGGACTCACGCGTTCGAGAGGTGATAAACCGCAACATGCTGGAGCCGACCTCGCACACGTTCGACGACGCTCAGCTGCAGATCTACACGCTGATGCAGAGAGACTCCTACCCCCGCTTCATCAACTCATCTGCGTACACAGATCTGCTGAAGAGCCTGGAGGAGCCTCCCCCCGAGCCATAGACTCTCCACTGCCGCACACTTTAGCTTTTCAAAAAATGGCGCATGCATCCCGCCCGAAAAGGAGTCTCGTGTTCCTGTTGGGAGTCCTGCTATTTAGAGAAAGACAGACAGCAAAATGAACACTACATAAAACCGGTCTTTATCCAGCTGTCAACTGCTGTTTATTTACCCATGATTAGCTTACCAAAATACTTGGAGCAGACAAGAACAAACGCTATCCAGCATCGGTCTCTTGTTCGAAAGCATATCTATATTTTTATATAATCCCTAGCGCTTGACATTGTACTTTTCTACCTTGTTTAATGAGGGAAAGCATGCATCTGTGAGCACTGCATTTGTATTTAGGTATATTGTGAGCCTTAATGCATATCCAGTTCTTGTACACTCGAATAGGTTTTATTTAACAGTAACTTAAGAAGAAGGAAAGTGCCTTGGAATAAGATATTCTACACTAGCACCACGGGTCTAACATGAATGGTGCGACGATGACCTCACATGTTGGTGCTTTCAGCTCTTCTCAAAGATAAAAAGTTTTTACGACTTGTTGAGCTGGCACCCGGAAATAGATCTTGTCTGTGTTTCAATACTGTGATATATTAGTCATATTATATTTAATTCAAACAAAATGTGGGGAAACTGAATACACGACCGTGACCACTGATATATTTGTGTATTTAAAAATACATTTGTGTGAAATAGTTATTGGAATTCTCACAAATTAAATAAAGCACAATAGTATGTTGTTTTTGCTGTTGTGTGTTCAACACATGGTACTATATATTAAATGCATCATATGTGCGTTGCATATTAAGCTGCTTTAAAATGTACACTTTTCTTTGCATATGTTCTTTGTCTGAAAATACGTGAAAAATGTCCACCACGTCTCACGAAAGCCTAGGTGGTTGTCTTTAAGTTGTTCTTCTTTTGTCCAACAACAATCCAAAATATAATGTTTACAATAATTCAAAAGGTCCAGTATGTAGAATATAGCGGCATCTAGTGGTGACGTTGCAGATTGCAACCAACTGAAACTTCTCCTGTGTGCCAAGCGTGGAGGAGGGATACGGTGGCCGAAAATGTTTAGTTTGTCTCTTCCGGGCTACTGTAGAAACATGGCGGCCGGCTCCGTGAAGAGAGCCTCCTCCTTAAGTAGATACAAACGGCTCCTTCTAACGAAAACACAACAATTCTTAGTTTCTAGTTACTCATGAAAACCTACTTCCCCTTAAATCTTACATACTGGACCTTTAAAGAGAGAAAATATCAGCAAATACTTAAAATTTCAGAAGCTGGAATCAAGAAATGTTTTAATGCTTTAAATAAATGAGTAAATTTATCGACTAATAACTTGTTTTAGCATTATTACACATAGGCTCCATTAATAAAAAAAGGGCATTAATCAACAGGCCATTTATTGTGAGATAGTCAGTATTAAACCATAAAGTATAGCCCTAGTTATTCCAATACATATGATTCCTGGAAGAAATGGCTTGTCTCAAAGGCAAGCAGCTTTAAAATCAAGCAACTACTGTTACTCTAACACTGAGGGGTGTGTGTGGCTCCAGGTCAGGAGACAATATTGTTTATCGTTATGCTTCTCCGGTGTACATGAAGGTCCAGTCCTGTCTGGCTTTAATAAGTAGCAGCGTGGTTTTATAGTCAAGTAAGTCAGTGGTTCCTCGTGTCCCCCAGAGTCTCGCCGGGGTCGAGCCCAAAAGGACCCCGATGGCGCTGTGCGGTTGTGCGGCTGCTCCCGAGTTCATACATCGCTGATGGGAGGAAGCTGCTTCTCTATGAATCGTTTCACATCCACCATTTCCTGCACAAGTTACAGAATAAAGCAAAAATCAGGTATATAACACAGAACGAAACTAGAGCTCCCAGAGTCACATGGGACTCC